AGACTTTGTTGCTGTGACAGAAAAGTTAAAAGCCAGGTTAGAAATTATTAGAGCTGCTTCATTAGACTCCAGTTGTATGGCAGGAGACAGTGCAGTATCAGTGGATATAGTTGGCTTACTCACTCCATCCCCTTCTCCACACAATATGAGACAAGAGAAGTCCATATCAAATGATACTGCAAGTGTTGAAGTCAAGACCAGATCACTTGATACTAATACCATCCACGTTGTATTAGTAGCACTAGCTTCAGCTAGTAAATTAATTTGATTCAAAGTATAATGGAGAGACTTACAGCTCTTCCCATCATCAGTAATACAAGAAGGCTCATCAACTCCATTGATACCAACACTAACAGTACTTACTGCATCTCTCATGCAACTAGAGCCTGCTTCTCCTTCTATCAAGGACTGACATTGTGAAGAAACAGGCAATAGGGAAGCCCCCAAGAAGACAAGAACAAAGATAAGCTCCTTCATATCTGATTGTAGGTACAGTTTGGGATACAACTGTTACAAGAAAAGTGGGCATTATAACAGTTGATACAAGTACAACCAGGCAATCCTTGTTACAACTGATGCATATCAATCACAAGCAAATGTTAATGAATCAGCTAATTGGAGTGTGCAAGCATTAATATAGACTATACTTCACTGCTGCTTTATTTTATAAGCATAAAGAGGTCTATTGTAGTTATAAATGATAGTTTCCACTATCAAATAATTAAGAATCAATAAATCTAACAAAAAATCTATTCGCAAACAGCTGTTATTAACCAAAATAGCCCCTTATGTAACTTATCCATTTACAATTGGATATGGTTATAGAATCTTAAAGAACTTACCTTTCTAGGATGAAGGAGTTTAGTTTTATACTCAACAACTGCCACCAAAACTTGAACATGCTGAGGATTAGTCTAAAAGGAAGCACTCAAATAATTAATGATTATTTGCATTTTAAACAAGTAATGTTAATCTCACAAACTATAGTCCTTTTACTATGATTAAAATATCGAAAATGAATAATGAAAACTTTTCTTAGCTGCTTTATGCGCAATTACTATATTTCATGAATGAGTGGCTCACTGTTGCTGATGAAGCAATAGAGAATGCTCTTGGTTGCAATACAGGAAGTAAGTCTAAGAGATAAGAGACTGGGATCTTAGTAGCAGTCAAAGGAAAATCATTTAATACCTGTAAAATAAATATTAAAAAAGATAGAATATACCGTACATACAGTATATAATATAGATGCCATTACTTCAATAATTGTTCTCCTTGGTCTGTTACAATATGAATACAGCTCCTCCTGTCCCTCTGGAGTAACAAACTCTTCAAGTTTCTCTTTCTCTAACTCGTTCACGGCAAACCATGACAATATCTCAAAGAATGATCGTCTAGGTACAGACTGGATGTCCCAGTAGCATCTCAGCAGTGTCCTTAAAGTGCAAGGAGAGGAGAGTCTCTGGGGGACTGAGATACCTTCTATAAAGAGTAAATACGATTACTTCGTATAATGCTTGAATTGTTTATAAAGTTGCAAAGAAATACATTTATTTCCTAGCTATCAAATACAGTTAAATTAGGGCATCAATGATTAGAGATACAGTAAGATCATTATCATTATTATTAACATTATCATCATCATTATTATTATTAATTTCATACACCTCAGGTTATTAATCTATGCCCCACATACATACCTTCATTTGATGTTATATTCAAGGAGAGATCAGCAAGATGAGTCATCTCCGTCACTTGAAGGAACCTCTCAACTGACTCTGAAGTATTCTCTGGAACTATCATTAGCACATCACCAGGAGAGTAGCTGTGAAAGAAAGAACGAGAGAGAAGGGAGAGGAGAAAGAGAAACAAAGAAATGGGCAAATGCAAAAAAAGAGGTACAATCTAGACATACGTGTAGATCAAAAGTATTCTATTCTGTGTAGCAGAGAAGCTTACTGTGGGAAAGATCCTTCAAGTGTTATTAGTCTCACATCTTGGAAATGTGATGAAGGAGTAAGACGAGAATTGTCCAATAGTAGAGCAGGTATTGCTTGAGAAGGAGGCTTCAAGGCTAAAGAATTTCATAAAAAGCAAGCGTATAACAAAATTTATTAGAGTATGAAATAATTTTAATACACATTTTGGATGTGAGTGTCCTATTTGAGCTGGTTCTGACCAAAATTGATTTTTTTAATGAATTTTTTAACTAGTTCCAAAATTTGACAAATGACCCTGGGCTATATAGTACAGGGTATTCATGAAAAATCACTAGGAGAGAATTCTTCATTTTTATAATTTTTCTAATGCATATACAAGTTCTTATGTTGTGTAGCAAGTTTGAGCTAATTCCGATCAAAATCAAATTTTTTACAAATTTTTAAAGTTACTAAAAAATCAGGCCAAGGTCCCTGTACTATAGTACAGGGACTTTTGTCAAATTTCGCCAAAAATCACTAGGAGAGAATTCTTCATTTTTATAATTTTTTCTGATACATGTACATGTTCTGATGTTGTGCAGCAAGTTTGAACTAATTCAGATCAAAATTGGATTTTTTACGAATTTTTAAAGTTGCTCCAAAAACTATGACAAATGACCATGGGCTATAATACACAGTAGTAGAGGGTATTCCACAAAAAAGGCTACTTCCATTCTTATTAATCTTTTCAATACAGTATAAATAGAGCCTACCAGTATTTGATACCGGAGCAGAATAAGCATTAATATTAAATCTTGATGGCAACCTACGGAAGAACGAATGATGAGTTTATATCACATAATGACTATATACCTTTCCTTATATGGTAGTACGGATAAACCAGGTGGGAGAGGATATAGAGTGTCTAGTTTAGTCCATAAGTCAACCAACCATGGATCTATTACTGCATCAGGACTATAATATAATATACAATG